GCAGGGTGCGGGGTTTGGGGTGTGGTGTGCAGGGTGTGGGGTTTGGGGTTTGGGGTGCAGGGTTTGGGGTGCAGCATGTAGGGTGTGGGGTTTGAGGTTTGGGGTGCAGGATTTGGGTGCAGGGTGCTGGGTTTGAGGTGCAGAGTGTGGGGTGCAGGGTGCTGGGTATGGGATGCTGAGTGTGGGGTTTGGGGTGTGGGGTTTGTGCCCCCCCAACAAACCCCCCTCACCCCTTTGCCCTGCCCTTCCCCAGCCCATCAAGCGGGATTTCATCCTCACCCCCAAGTGCTTCTACCTGATCGGGCGGGAGAAGGTCAAGAAGGGCCCTGAGAAGGGGCAGATCAAGGAGGTGCTCAAGAAGAAGGTGGAGCTGCAGGCGGTCAGCGGYGTCTCGCTCAGGTGGCTCCRTCCCCACAGCCTGGCTWCACCCCAMASCTCCAGCAGCCTCCCCAATYCCCCAGCCCCTCACCCAGCCAGYCCTGRGGAGGGTCCTGTCCCCACATGGGGTTTTACAGATGGGGTTTTGSATGTGTCCTTGTGCTCCTCAGCCCCTCATCCATGGGGTCACCCAGCCCTGGGGAGGGTCCCATCCCCACAGGGTGATTTGCAGATGGGGTTTTGGATGTGCCCCAATGCTCCCCAGTTCCTCAGCCCCTCAKCCATGGGGTTATCCAGCACTGAGGAGGGTCCTGTCCCCACAGGGTGACTTGCAGATGGGTTTTGGAGGTGTCCTTGTGCTCCCCAGCCCCTGGGCAGGGTCCCCACAGGGAGATTTGCTGATGGGGTTTTGGATGTGCCCCAGTGCTCCCCAATTCCCCAGCCCCTCACCCCTCACGCATGGGGTCATCCAGCACTGAGTAGGGTCCCCACGGGGAGATTTGCAGAACCAGCCCTGAGGAGGGTCCTGTCCCTACAGGGACCTTTGCAGATGGGGTTTGRATGGGTCCTTGTGCCCCCCAGCCCCTCACACACAGGGACACCCAGTCCTGGGGAAGGTCCTGTCCCCAYATRGGGTTTTACAGRTGGGGTTTTGGATGYGTCCTTGTGCTMCTCAGCCCCTCAKCCATRGSGTCACCCAGCCYKRGGRRGGKYCYSWYCCCMMMRGGARRTTTGCAGATGGGGTTTTGGATKYGCCCCAGTGCTCCCCAATTCCTCAGCCCCTCATCCATGGGGTCRCCCAGCCTGAGGAGGGTCCYRTCCCCAYRGGGAGATTTSCTGATGGGGTTTTGGATGTGCCCTGGTGCTCCCCAACTCCCCAGTCCCTCAGCCATGGGGTCATTCAGCCCTGGGGAGGGTCCTGTCCCCACGAGGAGCTTTGCAGATCTCTGCAGGTCGGGGATTTTCCCACCTAAACCACCCTCCAAATCTCCTCAGGGTGTCCCCGAGCCCAGCAGAGCCCCCAGTTCCCCCATCCCMTCTGGCACCAGCCTTGCTGGGGTTCACACCCCCTCTTTCTCCCCCCAGCACCAGGCAGGACGATTTCTTCATCCTCCACGAGAGCCACGCCGACAATTTCTTGGAGTCCATCTTCAAGACGGAGCTGATCAGCCTCCTGTGCAAACGCTTCGAGGAGCTCACCCGCGCCAAGCTGCCCCTCKCCTTCAAGGACACGTAAGGACGGGGCCAGGAGAGGGGACAGCTCCCTGTCACCGCGGCCTSACGGCTCCTGTCGCCCCCAGACTACAGTTTCGGGTGAAGAAGGAGGGCTGGGGCGGCGGYGGCACCCGCAGCGTCACCTTCGTCAGGGGACAGGGCGACGTGGCCGCGCTCAAGGCAGGAGGCAAAACGCTCACGGTCAGCATCGGGGATGGGCTCCCCAGGAATGCCAGTGAGTGTCAGGGAGCTGGGGGGTGGCACGGGGGGGACACAGGAGTGTTGGGGTCACAGGGCACGGCTGGGGGTATGGGAACAGCGGGGTGAGCTGGGGGTGCCCTGTGGGGTTTGTCTCACCCTGGAGGGACCCTGGTCTGCTCTGGTGATGGGGCAGCAAGGGGAGCTTTGGGGAACAAATAGGGGCGGGACAGACCCCACAGGTGGCCCTGAGGGCTGTCCCCTAACGGGGGGCTCGTGTCCCCCCAGAGCCCACAAGGAAGGGGGCAGCGCAGGGCAGAGGTGGCGGCAGGCGTCCGGCGCCGTCCCGGAGCGCCCCGGCGGCACCCAGAGGTGAGGAGGGGGTCCGGGGTAGGGGGACCAGCACGGACCCGGCACGGGCCGCTCCAGGAGGCTGCAGGAACGGGGCGCCCGCGTTCCCCCGCGGCGATGGCCAGGGCCAGCGGGACACGTACAGGATGCCCCAGAAGCAGCCGCGRGGCCCCCCGGCCGTGGCTCCGCACGCCCGCAGCTCCGGCCACCAGCCCAGGGGGGCGCGGCCGCCGTCCGAGCACAACATGGACTTCCTCAACGTGCCCGACCAGGGCGTGGCCGGGTAAGGTCCTGCCCCACGTCCCCGCCCTGTGCCACCCTCCTGTCSCACTGCCACCGGCACCGGGAGATGCCTTTTACCCTGGAGGCAGTCGGGCTTTGCCGGTGGGACACATCCCCCAGGCTCTTGTGCGTCCCAGTTCGCCCAGTCCCCAAACTGGGAGCACCCCATGGGTGTGGGGCAGCAGGATGGACAGCTCATCCTGCCCCAGTTCTCCCAGTCCCCCCAGTCCCCGAACTGGCAGCACCCAGCTGCAGGCAGGTTCAGGGTGGGTAGGGGGGTGCAGCTCATCCTGCCCCAGTTCTCCCAGTCCCCAAACTGGGAGCTCCCACCGGCACTGGGGA